ATGAATAAATACATCTCTCAAGGAAACAATAGTGTCCAACCCCTGCAGCTGGAAAGGTGAAATGTGCGTTGCCGTAGCTTCAGCCGCTGGGACTCAGAGAGCACCTGATGAACCTCGACTCCATTCACAGCTGCAAATGGAAGCTGTGAACCTGGAGCACCCGGCAGCCTTCCTGGAGGGGGTTCACAAAGTACCCGTGAGTGGCTTATACCCAGAGGTCTTCCTCAGTGTGCGGTAGGACCTGGGTACCGTTTTGTGTAAAGATATGGAAAGAACGAAAGAACGAAAGAACGGAAGGAAGGAAGGAAGGAAGGAAGGAAGGAAGGAAGGAAGGAAGGAAGGAAGGAAGGAAGAAAGAAAGAAAGAAAGAAAGAAAGAAAGAAAGAAAGAAAGAAAGAAAGAAAGAAAGAAAGAAAGAAAGAAAGAAAGAAAGAAAGAAAGAAATCTGAATGCAGATTTCACACAGGCAGGGTCAGCAGAGAGGCCGTGCACCAGCTGTGTCTGCAGAGGGGCACCCTCCAAACTGAGGGATTCCACCCAGTGGTCTGACCAGTCCAGTCCGGTCACCTGTTTCCTAAGGACTCTGCTTTGGAATCACACAAACTTTTGCAAAATGGCTTGACAAAGTCTGAATCTTGCACTGGAGTTGGTGAAGGAAGAAATGCCACATAATACTGTCAGAGAAGGATCCTAGGCAACCAGTCTGTCATTTTAACTCAAAATCATTTTAAGGGAAGGGTCAAGAAAATGATCTCAACTGGGACCAGTGTTGTGGCCCAGTGGATGAAGCCATGGCCAGCAACTCCAGCATCCCAACTCACAGAGCTAGTTCGAGTTCCAGCTGCTCTGCTTAATCCAAAACCCTGCTAATGCGCCTGGGAAAGCAGCGGAAGATGGCCCAAGTGCTTGGGCCCCTGCCAATCATGGGGGAGACCCAGATGGAGCTCCAGGTTCTTGCCTTCGGACTCGCCCATCCCTCGTTGTTGCAGTCATGTTGGGAGTGAACCAGCAGCTGCAGATTCAAGTGAATAAAGCATGTGTAAATCCAAAATCTAGATGGCCCCGATGGTTAATGCCACTTGCCTAGAAATGCACTTTCCTACTTTTCAAGACTCAGATGTCTACCGTCCAACTCAACAGTGTGTGACTGTATCACGGCGGTCCACGTCTTCCCCCTGGGAGCATGGCAGCAGGAAGAGGAGCACTTAATGCTGAGACTCCATGGGCCGCACCCCAACGGGGCTGGGTCACGTGGCTTCGTCAAGCCCCCTGCGCTCCTGTGTGCTTCTCTACTTTTCAGAAGAAACTGGATCAGGAGGTTTTTCTTTTGTTTTAAGATTTATTCATTTTTATTGGAAAGGCAGATTACACATAGAGAGAAGGAGAGACAAAGATCTTCCATCCACTGGTTCACTTGCCAAATATCCTCAATGGCCAGAACCCAAACCCATCCAAAGCCAGGAGCCAGGAGCTTCTTCCAGCTCTCCCACATGGGTGCAGGGCCCCAAGGCTCTGGGCCGTCCTCGACTGCTTTCCCAGGTCACAAGCAGGGAGCTGGATGGGAAGTGGAACTGCCAGGATTAGAACCGGCACCATTATGGGATCCTGGCGCATTCAAGGCAAGGTCTTTAGCCGCTAGGCCACGCCGCTGGGCCCAACAAGAATTTCTTTGTTTTTTTGTGTTTTTTTTTTTATGATAACTTTTTTTTTAATGGGTCAGGCTGGATGGTTTACAAAATAAAAACACTTTTTTCCCCCACTCTTTTTCAATGCAGGTTTATTTGCTTGAAGGCAGTTACAGTGTGAGGGAAGATGGGAGAGAGGTGGCCCACCCAGCGCTAGCTCACGGCTCAGATGTGACAGCCAGTGCAGGGTCAGGCTGAGGCCAGAGGCCTGGGCCTCCATCTCAACCTGAGCTGAGAGGCCAACAAGGACAGGGTCACCTAGGCAGGGAGTGGGCAGAGGACTGGGTCACCTGGGGCCTCCCTGAATAGGTTTGCTACCCTCCTTCAGGACTGAGCAGCTGTGACGGGGTCCATTGAGCCACACACAAGGTAGCATATATACTTCATGGGAGAGGTTTGCTCATCTCCAGCTTAAAGAAATCAAGGTTTATTTGTGTCCATGGTAAGGATGCTGGACTGGGCCATGTAAGCACGGCACAGAAACTCCACGGTGAGTGTCCAGACCCCCTCCGTAAGGCTCAGCAAGTGGACGTGCTGTAGCGTGGGCTCAGCACAGCTGCCAGTGCTCCAGACATCACACGTGAGATCTGTATTGTAGACAGGAACACACACACACACACACGGAAAGCATCTCTTCTTTCTACCAAGTAAAAGGGTAGGCAACTTTCCCTTTTCCCAGCATACTTTTTACCTGGCTCTCCGCCCAGGGAGGGTCTGCAGCCACTTCCGGGTTCAGGAGAAGCTGGGAAAACATGAAGGGAAGCGTCAAGGTGGACTCAGGCAGCTGCTCCTTGCTTCCTGCGGCCCACAGTGAGAAGCAGATTTTGTGTCACAGTCTAAGAAACATCATCAGGAGCGTGACATGTCACAGAACACAACCTTTTCCCGCACAAAGCCATTGCCTAAGTTCTGTCCACGTGAGCCACAGGTTCAGTCTCACAACCCGCGGCTGGGCTCCAAGGATGCTACGCAAAGCGCAAGGGCGTTTCCCAGAGGTCAGGGAGAAGTGGACTGGAGCAAGAAGTTTGGGGCAGATGCTAGCTGGGACAGTCACAGCTCCTCTCAGAGGCCATCTGGGCTTAGGCCCCAGCTTCCTGGGAGGGAGCAGGTGATGGCTCAAGTATTGGGGGGGTGGGTCCTGTCACCCTCGTGGAGATTGGGATGGAGTTTGTGGCTCCCAGCTCTGGCCTGGCAGCCCCCTGGCAATGTTAAGCACTTGGGAAGTGAGCAGATGGCAGATTCATATTCTCTCTCTCTCTCTCTCTCTCTCTCTCTCTCTCTCCTGTTCTTCTGTTCCTCCCCGCCCCCGCCCCCCCCAGCCACCCCAAGCAGGAAGTGGCTATTGGGCTGTGGACTAACCACTGTACCCACAGCGCCCAAGGCTGGGCTGGAGGCGGTCCCACTGAGGCCCACCAGCAAGGCGGGTCAGGGGCCCTGACCCCACCCAGTGGGGTCCCTGGGACCCAGAGTGCTGAGGGAGCTGCTGGGATCCCCGCACCCTCGCCATGGCACGCAAGGGGGTGAACACACAGGCCTGACTCCAGGCTAAGCCCCGCCTGGGAGAGAGCCGTAGCTGGAACTAGGTCAGAAGGAATTAATTACTGTGGGGGTGCTGGAGATCGCCAGAGAATTCTGGATCACCCTGGGAGGCACGGACTTTCCCTGCCCTTCCTGTCCCTCCTGTCCCATCGGGTTTTTTAGGTTTTAATCTGGCATATGGGCATTTCTGCTTAAGTCTGTCTTTTTCTTTCTTTCTCTTTCTTTCTTTCTTTCTTTCTTCTCTTCTCTTCTCTTCTCTTCTCTTCTCTTCTCTTCTCTTCTCTTCTCTTCTCTTCTAAGCAAGGGAAAGTGAATTTTTCTCCAATCAGCCAGGGGGAGTAATGTAACTTTTTACTTTTTGTCATTCTTTATTTTTTTTCTTCTTCTTATAACAATATTTACTTGAAGGTGAGAAAGTTCTTACGATGATCTAATCTGGGCCATCTTCCTGTTTTCCCCGGGGCGCATTAGCAGGGAGCTGAATTAGGAGTGTGGCAGCCAGGATTGGAAGTGGCACCCATGTGTCACTTGCCGGTGTCACAGCGTGACCGGGTTCTTCGGAGTTTTACCCACCGTTTTCTGTTGTTGTTGTTTGTTTGTTTGTTTGTTTAGGTGGGGTCGGACACCTGGGCTGTGAAAGGGTAAGTGTGACTTGCGAGGGTACATCAACCAGGCGTGACCCCTACCTCCCCATCCAGCTGGGGGGAGGGGGGGTCTGAGATCCTGCCCTCACCTCCACTTGCAAAATTCAGATGGGGAAACAGGTGTAGCGTGTTGGGGGGACAGGGGACGACTTAGGGGCCCTGTGACTTTCCGCAAGTTCCAGAGCAGGCTCTGAGCAGACCTGCGGCCCAGGACTGCGAAGTCTGACCCAGATGAGTCGCTTCCGCTCGCATGTCCCCTTCGTCGCCACCAACGGGTCGGGCCGCTGCCCAGTCTCCTCCGCGGGTGCCGATGAGCTAAACCAAGGCCAAGACTACACAATGCCAAGGCTCCAGCCTGTGTGAAAAGCCCCTGGCCGGCGCGCACAGAAGCGGAGGCGGCGCCCCCGGGTCGCCCCTTATTGGAGGCGTCAGGACCCGCTGTGCCGCAGGGGGTCTTTGGGCTCTGCAGTCCCCGGGCGTCCCGTGGATCCTGGGGCGCGCACTCCCGCTGCGCGGGCACTCCGGTGGCGGGCAGGACTAACCCATCGCGGAGGGCGGAGTGGACAGGGGGAGGGCGGAGTGGACAGGAGGAGGGCGGAGTGGACAAGGGGAGGGCGGAGTGGACAGGGGGTGCCGATTGGCTGCTGAGGAGTCAGGGGCGTGCGCGGGGCGGGACGAGGGCCGGGCCCGAGCGGCTGGTTGCGGAGGCTCGGAGCTTGCAGGGGCCTTAGACTCTGCAGAGTGCTGGGGTCTGGCCGGCACTGGCTGTGGCTTCCGGGGCGCGCTCTGACTGCACGGTGAGTGATGCACGCGCGCGTGGGTCGGTGGGTAGGTGCTTGTGAGGGGTCCACGGGTTGGCGCACCCCGACCCCGGCACGGCCACCAGGCAGGGGCGCTGGTGTCTAAGGCACCTGTGTACCGAGACCCGGCGTGCGCGGGTTCCCTGCTCCTGCCCTCCTGGTGCAGCGCAGGGTTTCAGGCCCTTGGCGGAGAGCGGGCTTTGCGTCTCATGCCTGCCTCTTCCAGGGCGGAGGCTAGATGAATTTGGCTAGCGGCTACACCTTGTGGCCACCGAGTCCCTCTGCCCAGCCAGTCTCCTTGAAGCCTTGGTCCTTGGGGGAAGAGCTCTCTGCCCTCCCAGTGGAAGGTAACAGCGGAGACCACAGCAGAAGGAACTTGTCTCACAATCCCATTAGAGCTCATGGCAATTGTTGCCATGTTCGGAAAGGGTTATGGAGTTGTTTATCTTTTCCCAGGTCAGTTGGGTGGCAGAGCTGGAATTGCAACCCAGGGCCTGCTGTGTCCTTCCAGGTCTCCTGCCCCTCCCGGCTCCGCCCCTGGCCCCTCAGCTTGCCCAGTGCCTCCCTCACTCTGTGTGGGACTCGGCCCACTCTTGAAAGATTCCAGCAGATCTCGGGGAATCCGGCCCAGTCCTGACTCCCCAGGGAGGGAGGCCTCCTCTCACACCAGGACTCCTGCCAGGACTGGCCAGCTGGTGCTTTCTCAGAACACCGCCAGGAGAATTTAAGCAACTGTCCTTCAAGTGGGAATGAAATAAGGTGAGGAGACACACAGGAAGGAAGCTTTATAGGGCCCCCCATGTCACTCTGCAGAATGTCTAGATACTGCTGCTGGGGCTGGAGGTGCTAGGGAGAGGGAAGGGGGAGGCACAGAAGGGGAAAGCGGACATGCGGGAGAAGAAAGAAAGCACGGCTGGAAGTAGCAGTCGGGGTTGTAGTTCTTGTCTCTGAGGGTGACCTCTGATCACACTTGTTGGAGTTGTGATTCTGTGTGACGCTGTCCACCTGGAACCCAGGAGTGGGGTCAGACCCCACATGAGACATCCTGTGGGTGGCCTTGAGGCTGAGGGCGGAATGGACGCCCAGGATGTCCCAGGGTTAGAACCAAGTGGGGCTGGACCCCTACTAGGAAACGTGAAGGAAAAACCTGGGCTGCAGAGCCCCTGTTCCATCAAAGGCCCACTGTGGACGGGGCAGTGCCAGGGCATCCCATGTCACCTGTCCGAGGCCCTGCTGCCCAGTGTGGACAGGGCAGTGCCAGGGCATCCTGTGTCACCTGTCCGAGGCCCTGCTGCCCAGTGTGGACAGGGCAGTGCCAGGGCGTCCCGTGTCACCTGTCCGAGGCCCTGCTGCCCAGTGTGGACAGGGCAGTGCCAGGGCGTCCCGTGTCACCTGTCCGAGGCCCTGCTGCCCAGTGTGGACAGGGCAGTGCCAGGGCGTCCCGTGTCACCTGTCCGAGGCCCTGCTGCCCAATGTGGACAGGGCAGTGCCAGAGCGTCCCGTGTCACCTGTCCGAAGTCCCTTCCACATCCCTGCCACCCCTCTCCTGGACTTTCACAAAGTCACACGGGGTTATGATCGTGGGACTGATGAATTTGGGGTGGGGCTGAGGTCGAGGCTGAGTGATCAGCCAATCACGGGGCACGTGGAGTAGAGTCTTTGGAAACTGCTCTCAAGTGAACTCAGATCAAGTAGGAAGTGGCTGCCCTTCCCGAAGCTGCTTCCGCATGTGTCTGTTAAAGGGGAACTTGTTGCTCCCGGCTCTCCTTTGCTGACTGCCTCGGGCTCTTCTCCTTAGAGGTGACCACTAATGCCCGGAAGCTTCCAACCCTTGGCTTTGGGAAACAGACAGCGTGTGGGTTGTACAGCCCCGTAGCAGTATTGCTAGGACAGCCCTGGCTCATGACCCAACTCGGGTTTGATCAAGGGCCAAGGACGGCACGGTAGAATGAGGTCCCTTGCTGAAGCCCAGCTCATGCCAGGACCTCTGCACCCTGTCTCTGCTTATGACATGTTCCTGCGGACATTATGGACCTAGGATCTGGGGGCCTGGGGATACAGGGATGACCCCCCACTCGCCAACCCCTGCCTTAATGAGCACATAGAGACCTCTTTTTTTTTTTTTTTCCAGGGGGATTTTGTTAAGGGTCAAACCCTCTGAGAGGTTTCATGTCCCGAGGCTTCTGAGACCCACAGTGGCTCCCAGGGAATGAGCTTCATGTGGCATCTAGGCCTGGGGCAGTTTGAAAGCCAGGCAGTCAGGGGTGCAGCTGGTATCCGGGACTCCCAAGAATTGGCCCTCTGCCATGCAATCCCGCTTCCAGGAATCCTGGCCAGGGGGCCATTCTGGGCACCTTTTTGGCGCCAAACCACCCTTGTTTTCCTTGGATCTCCTCTGCCGAAGGCAGGAGGTGAGGCTGGTATGAGGATGGGACAGTAAGAGGCTTGGTCACTAAGCCTCCTGGTTAAGAAGCCCAGGAGTCTGACCCATGCACTTGCTGTGAGGTGGTCAGGAAGCTTTGTGGGGACAGCTGGGCGTGGGGAGTCGAACTCTACAGAAGGATACAACAGGGCTGTGTCAGTGGGAACCCAGGATGGTGGCTCAGAAGAGGCTTAGGCAGGCGGGGTCAGCCAAGGGCAGGTGGGAGAAAGGAGGTAACAGGTGGTGTTGTGGCTGTCTCCCCTTTGCTCTCTGGGATGGGCTGAGGCCGGGATGGGGAGGGAGGGGGAGGTGTGGCTGGGCCACGGGGAGTGATGGTGATGGAGGATGCACTTTAAAGGTGGACAGCATTGGAGGCTGTGCAGGTTGGGACGAGGCAGGAACTGCAGCTGCTGAGTCGCCTTCTCCGGCCATTTGTGTTTGAACAACTGGCTTTGTGCACAAGACAGTGCCACTAAGCCCCGACGGCCATGTCCAGCCATGGAGGTGGCTGACTGTTTCCCGGGGTCCAGCCCCTGCTATTGGCTGGCTAACAGGTGCTGGGGACACTTGAGAAGGCTCATTGTTTGCAGGCCTGGCCACTGACCCCGGCCAGCATATGAGGCTGGAGATGCAAAGGGAGTAGAGAACTAGGCCTCGCAGGAATGCAGGATGGGATGTCCTGCACCTGCCGCCTTCTTCCTGCCGGTGCCAGCCTGGCTGGGAAACTCCCAGCTGCACCCCAGCGTCTGTCCTCCTGACTTTGGCTTCTCTAGCCATGTGCCATATCCCTGCAGGGACTTTGAACCTGGGAGCTGAGGGTGGGAAGACGCAGGATGTGGGCCCCTGAGCCCCAGCAGTGGTGAGCCCATAGGATGTCAGACAGCATTAGGTCTCTGACTTCCCGGACACACACAGAACAAACGAGGCTTGCAGGGGAGGGTCCCTCTGCCTGGGTTGGCCATCGGAGAGGCCTGGAAGGCAGGCAGCTTGTTAGCACCGTCTCCCATAAAAGGCTTTCCCATGCACACTGCGCAGCATCGTGAACATACCACTCAGTCATTCCTTCTTTTTTTTTCACAATTGAAAGGTAGCATGGGGCCCCCCCAGAGTGATCTGGGCAGTCACAGAGTCCTCTTTATGGCCGAGAGGGCGAGAGAGAGCAGGTGCGCCGTGCTGGCCTTTGTCCCTCAGTTGCCGGGTTAGGCTGTGCTGCCGGCTGTCGCTGTCCCTGCATGGCCATGGCTGGCAGAGCAGCCACTGAAGTGGAAAGCGAAGACAGCTTGTACACCGGGGCTTGGCGAGCCACCCTGGGATCCCTCCCGTGGGACACAGAACCTCTAGCCTGAGAAGCAAACAAACTCTGCTGAATTGCTGAGTGCCCTGGGGCCTAGGGCGGGGCAAGGCCTGGACAAAGAGAGAGGGAGGAGCCAGCAGGGGGATGGGGGACTTGGGCCTGTCCAGCTGCATCTGTCCCTCTGGCGCTGATCATAAGGATTATGCCTGGTGTAGGCAGACTCCATCACAGCCCTCTCTCCATCTTTGCTTCCACCCCGTCGGCCACTCCTGAATCAGTGTGACTGGGATTTAATTAGAAGATGCCATGAGTGTAGGAGGCAGCTGGTACCCACTCAAAAGTTGGCAAGAAGGGGCCCCAGCATGGTAGCATAGTGGCTAAAGTCCTTGCCTTGCACGCGCCGGGATTCCATGCGGGCACCTACTTCCCATCCAGCTCCCTGCTTGTGGCCTGGGAAAGCAGTTGAGGACGGCCCAAAGCCTTGGGACCCTGCACCCATGTGGGAGACCTGAAAGAAGCTCTTGGTCCTGGCCTCTGATTGGCACAGCTCTGGCTGTTGTGGACACTTGGGGAGTGATTCAGTGGACAGAAGATCTTCCTCTCTCTCTCCTCCTCTCTGTATATCTGACTTTCCAATACATATTTTTAAGAAATCTTAAAAAAAAAAAAAAGAAGTTGGGCAAGTGGCTGCCTTTTTGTTACTGGGATGGGGCGCTGTGCACAGTCACAGCAGTGACCTCAGATGGACCTGGGAGACCCCAAGCATTACCCTAGGAGCAGGGAACACACACACAGGACTGCCAGGCAGTGTTTGTGCTTGGAGCTGGTTCTGCAGCCATTCCGCCCTCCAGGCGGGGCGTGGGCTGCGGCCCATCAAGACCAGGCTCCTGGTTTCCTTTAAACTTCAGGACAGCTGCCTCTTTCTTTCTCGTTTCTTTTCTTTTCTTTTCTTTTCTTTTCTTTCTTTCTTTCTCTTTCTTTTTTCTTTCTCTTTCTTTTTCTTTCCTTCCTTTCTTCCTTCTTTTTCAGAGTATACATTTTCTAGGAACTGACACAATACTGTAACAAGTTAATCCTCTGCCTGCCAGCCCCAGCATTCCATAAAGGCTCAGGTTTGTGTTCCGGCTGCTCCCTTTCCCAGTTCAGCTACCTGCTAATGGTCTGGGAAAGGAGCAGAAGAGTCCTGGGGGCCCACACCCACGGCGAGGACCCAGAAGAAATGCCTCTTTCCTGGCTTCAGATCAATGCAGCTCTGGCCGTTTCAGTCATTTTGGAAGTGAACCAGTAGAAGGAAGATCTCTCTCTCCCTCTCTCTTTGTAACTTTGAATTTCTAAGTAAAATAAATAAATTCTAAAATTATATATGTATACATATATACATTATATGATCTATAATCATGTTTATATTGTGTAAACATAGTATATTTCTATAGTATTCATATAATACACAATGTATCATATATGTGTTATAATATATAATATATGGCTATATATGTATTATATATAATTTTATGTATATAATTATATATATATACACATTCTCCATTGATTCTTTTTTAAATCTCTCACGGATTCTAAATGTTTTTTTGCACCAAAATAAATGTGTCTTTTAATTCTGCTTTCCATGAGCTTTTGGAAGTACCCTCCCGTGCACACCTGGACAAGAGCTGATTGCTGGGGGAAGGTGGTGGGACGTTGTTTGTTGTTTGAATCACTTAGGGAGCAGCCATGTGCGGGCCACCTGCCGTGTGCTAGCTCGGGCTCAGTGACAAAGCAGGAAAGCCAGCTTGCTGACCGCATGCTGCTCCTGCATCCCAGAGTCCCCGTGGGGGCCACAGCAGAGAGCCAGCAGGCCTTACCGGTAGGAGCATCGCTAGAGCGGAAAGCTGAGTGCAGCACTTGCCCACGTTCAAGGCCAGGGGACAGCAAGGGGCCGTCCAGCAGCCCTGAGCTGCTCCACCAGGCTGGCTTACAGGGCAGCAAGCAAGTGTGGGTTAGAAAGCAGATACAGGAAAGGAGGGGTAAGAACAAGACAAACGCAAGCCTCCTGTTGCTTCTGTCCTGCAGCGATCCCACTGCAAGCAAGGCAGCAGGGGACCCATGGGGTCGGCCCTAGAGACCCAGGCTGCGGTGGCTCCTGCCTCACCACTATTTAAAGGAACTACCCAGTGGCCGCCCCTCTTTCCAGGGGTGCTGAGGCACTGCGGAACTGAAACCCTGCATGCTGCAGGAGGGCCCCTGCTCCTGGGCTCTGTGACCCTGTGTTCCTGTGTCCCTATGCAAGAGATCTGGCCTGCCTCTCCTCAGTGCAAGGCAGCAGGAGTTACTTAGAAGCTGCTCCTGAGGCCCAGGAAGCCCGCTTCCCACTGCATCAGTCTCCAACATATTTCTTCCCTGATGCCAGCACAGGTGCAGGGGTCAAGGATGGACACAGAGCACTGAACAGGTGCCCGAGGGCACGGGGTGCCCTGCCCCGAGGGGCTCTGGGTCTGAGTCTGGCCCAAGGCCCTCAGGAACATGTGTATGCACACAGGGAGGGCAGAGGTGAGAAGGCTGGTTGGGTGTGAAGAGAAAAGGGTGGGAGTATGGCTTGGGAATGTGCTGACCTCATGATGAGAAGGGCATGTGTGCTCCCTGCTTTATAATGTCTCCCAGCCTGGGACCCTAAACTGCAAGTGGACGGTAGGAAGCAAGGGCCAGTCCTGAACAATGAGAGAGAGAGAGAGAGAGAGAGAGAGAGAAAGCAGGCTTTGCCACCTAAGGTGGAAGGGTCCTTGAGAAGACCAAGTCCTTCCCCACATCACACAGTTTTACCACCTGTTCCCTGCTGCGTGGGATCCGAGTCATGCTCCTGTGCACTGTGTCCATGCTGTGTGCATGACCCGTCCATCAGCCACTCAGAGGCCATCTCGCATCAGCACCAACCATCTGCCAGCTTGCCGGTGCCTATGTTCACGTGGTCCTGAATCATTTAACCACGTCCCTGAAGTGCAAGGATGCTGATGCTGGCAGTTCCTAGGCCAGAAGAAGCCCTTATGTGCTTCTGCAATGGCAAATCCTCACCTCGGTAAGACAATAAAATCAGACCCTGAGGTTACCAAGCTCTCTGATAAGAACAAATCTTCCATCTTGAAACTCTGAAGAAGGGGGGGAAAAAAGCACTACTTTTGATGTTGCACCTCAGACTGTGAAATTATGGCCTCGGGGTGAGAGAATTACTTGGGCAAGATTGAGAGGGTGCTAACTACTAGCTTGGTACCAAGCACTGGGGGTTTCTGTACTATAGATCTACTTTGTAGCAGATGCTATAAGGATGGGGGATGAAGGACAGCAGCAGTGACAGGGACCTGGTGTGGAAGGTGCCAGCAAGGCAGGGAATGCTGGAGGCAGGTGGCTGAGGGAGCCCCTCCAAGCTGTCAGGCCTGGATGCAAAGACAGAGACAGGACAGGGCAGGTGTGAATCCACTGAGGTGAGGAAAGGAAGGCTTGGGGGCGGGGTTAAGTCATCACCCAAGGCTCTTGTGGAGAAGGGATGTGAGCGCAGGATCAGGAGTTGGGGAGCTTGTGCTGTGTTCCACTCTACCCATGTGCCTGTGCGTTCGTCCACACATCAGCAAGGTGGTCCAGCTCCTGCTCCAAGGCTTGGGGTGCCAGATGCTGCTCTTCTCAGCTCACCTGTCGACACATCTTCTCAACAGGTAACCTGTGGGTCGGCAAACAAGAGGAGGGGAAGATGAAGGAAGACTGTCCGTCCAGCTCCCACGTGCCCATCAGCGACAGCAAGTCCATTCTGAAGTAAGCCCGGGTGTGCACTGCTGCCACCCCCTGCTAGTGGACAGCCTGTGGGTGTCCTCCAGCTGACCGTGAGCCCTGGGTGCTTCATTTGGGAGCCCCAGTGTGCAGGGGTCAAGGTGCTGTCAGAGTTTGGCTCCCACCTCTCCCCTTGCCAGGGATGAGAGCCACAGAAGCAGGAAGACACCCCAGGATTCTGCATAAATGGCATCTAATTCATCAGCAAGCTAGAGCAGCAGTCACACTCTTGTTGTGTAGACCAGATCAGGAAAAAGGAATGCTTTGGAACTGGGGATGAGAAAAGTGGATTTTAGATGACATGACTTCATCTAACAATTATATGGGACTTTTTCTCATTTTCTTTTTCACATTCATTTCTGAGTTAAAGAAGAGTAGGACTTGTGATTCATCTTGCTTTGGGGATCCTAAGTGCAAGATTTTCTGGGTTTGCAAAGCTTTCAACCTGAAGGCACTCACCACTCGTCAGTAGCTAAGGGACCGCCCCCCCCGCCAGCATCCAGAGAGAGCAGCTCAACCTAGCCTTAGGACACAGGGCTGCCATCAGCTCCCTCCCCTCGATCTTAGGAGTCAGAATAATGGAACAATATTGAATATGATTTTGAATATGATATGATTATGGGCCCAGTGCGATAATTCAGTAGCTAAATTTTCACCTTGCAAAGCAGCAGGATCCCAAATGGGTATCAGTTTGTATTCCGGCTGCTCCACTTCTCATCCAGCTCCCTGCCTATGGCCTGGAAAAGCGACTGAAAATGGAAAACCTGGAAGAAGCTCCTGGCTCCTGGCTTCAGATCGGCTCAGCTCTGGCTTTTATGGCCGTTTGTGGAGTGAACCAGTGGATGGAAGATCTGTCTGTCTGTCTCTCTTTCTCTCAGCAAGTCTGATCTGTCTTTCCAATAAAACTAAATAAATCTTTTTTTTTAAAAAAAAGTAAAGATCATGGAAAATGCAAATGAAGCTGATTTTGGTGCCCAACATTTTGATAATCATAAAAGGAGACTCATGGGAAAAGCATATCATGATAAAACTATAAATAGGTTTCAGGATTTCTTTGGCACCGAGCGAATCTTCTCATTTCATCCCGTCTTCCTGCGAACTTTTGGAAGCTCTTCTCTACATTTCCTAAAAACTTAAAAAAAGACATTTTACTGATTTATTTGTTTGAAAAGCAGAACGAGAGAGAGAGAGAGAGAGAGAAAGAATCTTCTATGCAGTGGTTCTTACCCCCTCAACAGGTGGAACTGCGCCAGGCCAAAGCTTGGGACCTGGATGGAGCGCCATCAGATCTCCCATCCGGATGGCAGGAACCCGGGACTTGAGCCATCACCCACTGGCTCCCAGGTGCACACCAGTAAGAACCTGGAAGGGCAGGGGGAGGACCTGGCACCTGAACCTAGCACTCTGAAATGGGATGTGCACCTCTTGGGCAGTGGCTTCACCTGCGTGCCACAATGCCCATCTGATATCCTGACAGTCTTGGGTTTAGTGCCTGTGTCTTTTTTTTTTTTTAAGGCTTATTTATTTTTATTACAAAGTCAGATATACAGAGAGGAGAGACAAAGAGGAAGATCTTCTGTCTGATGATTCATTCCCCAAGTGAGCACAACGGCCGGTGCTATGCCGATCTGAAGCCAGGAGCCAGGAACTTCCTCCAGGTCACCCACATGGGTGCAGGGTGCCAAGGTCTCAACTGTCCTTTACTGCTTTCCCAGGCCATAGGCAGGGCACTGGATGGGAAGCAGGGCTGCCGGGATTAGAACTGACGCCCATATGGCACATTCAAGGCAAGAAGTAGGCCACAGCACCGGGCCCCACCTGTGTCTTTATAAGCACAGTGACCATGCCACATGACTTCCGACATGGATGCTGCTGTGGAGTTATCCATCACTTTCTCTGTCCTCCTGACCCGCCATGACATATCCCGGCCGCACACCTGGGCTGCAGAGCAGCTTCTGCTGGCCGTGCTGTGTGGTCCTTGCCTGCAGGTAAAGGAAGGCTCTGCCTTGGGAAGGGGCTGGAACCACAGATTCTTTGAGAAGCCACAAGGCCTCTGTGACTGTCGCTGGGGAGACCTGGCTCATGGATGCTGCGGTTGATAAACTGTGTGTAACACAAGAGTGTGTGGGGTTTCTACTCAGGCTGTGTGGACCAGGGGACACTGCAGGAAGCCTGGTCGAGCCTGTGATGCAAATCCCACCTGTTTCAGCTTTCCTCTGAACGGGGCTGTTAGAAGGCTCAACCTGACCTGTGTGGTCACACTGCTGGCTGCACCTACGTGTGCAGAGCCAGGCTGTGCTCGGGAGCTGGTTGTCCCCTCACCGCCAGCCCCCCGACAGGGGGCCTCAAGGGCCTGTCTGTTCCTCTCTGGGCAGTCACCTCCACTTCCCATTTTGAAGGAAGGTCAGGATGGAGAAGAGGAGGCAAGCAGCTCCCAACAGCGTGAGTCCCCAGAGCGGCCACACCAGGCCACTGTAAGAAGCAACTAGGGGGACAAGCCAGATCCTTCAGCATCCGTGAGCCAAGCCCCGGGGACTTCCACGGGGGGAAATGACTCAGAGGTGGATTCGGGGGTGTCGTTGTAACCAAGTATGCACACCGAAGTGTGTACCCTTCTCAGCCCCAGGAGGAGGACCCGCCCCACGAAATTTTATTGGGGGAGGGAGAAGGGGAGTGCTTGGCAATGTGCCGTTTTACAGATGCAAACACCAAGAGCGGAGGACTCCACTCTTAGCCGAGGTCCCCGTGCATCTCACAAGCACGCACCTGTTTTTCACCATTGCAGGTCGGAGCTCCTGGGGCTGCTGAAAACCTACAACTGCTACCATGAGGGCAGAAGCTTCCAGCTGCGGCACCGAGAGGTGAGCCCATGGCTCCTCCTGCCTGGCCTGAGCCACTGTGTGCCCTGGTGGGGTGCCACCTGCCGGTCCTGGCCTGGCTATTTTCGGGGATAACTGGGTAGCCCGACCCTCTGACCTTTACAGGGCTATGATGTGGATAGGTTACAGGATTACCAACATTTCTGCCACCCCCAGGGCACGGGACAGGATGGGAGCATCCCTGTGAAGTGTAGAGCAGGTAAAACTCACCTGTGGACTTTCTCCCTACACCGAGGACCTTCTTCCAGGGGCATCCCCAAGCCTGAGGTCTCTGGCTGCCCCTCACGCCACCACATGGTGGGGACCAGGAGGACTCAGTCCCTCCTGGGCAGGGCTGTGTGCCCCTGTCTGGGTCAAAGCTGATGTACTTTTCATGGTCTAGTTATGAGTCCCTGGGTGGAGAGGTTTTTTTTCCCGGGGGTTTCCGCAGCTGAGATGGAGTCAGTTCCTGGATGTGCTCCACCCATCGGGTTTGGACTGCAAGTTCCCCTGGTGGAGTTTAACCTGAGAGTGGGAAACTGCCAGGTACTTAGGTAGCTCCGAGCAGCTGGGGATTGCCAGTTGGTGGCGGGGTGAGGCCTGGCTAGAACCTTCCTGCCGGGGTAGTCTGTGTCAGCCGCCCTTCGGCACTGCTCAGGAGCTCTGCCCTGCCCTCTGCCAACACAAAATCCGAGGTCCCATGCCAGTCCCGAAGGCTCTTCCCTCCTCCCCTCTGCTGCATCCTGCTTCCTTCTCTGCCCCTTGCCTCTCCCTACCTGCCCCAGGCCACCTTGCTGCCTCTGGTGCAAATCTGAGCACTCAGGAATCCTCCCCTCTGCGGTTATCCAAATAGCAACCCACTTTCACACCAGGGGGGTTCAGCTCTGCCGTCCCTTTTCCTACCTGAGCAGTGAGCACCTCACAGCCAAGGCTGAACCCCAGGCAGCCAGGTCTGGGTCCTCCAGGCCAGGCAATGTGGCACCTATGCATGGTTGCTGGGTGGTATGCAGCAGGTGTAGGCTGGGCCCTATGTCCTGAACTCAGCATGCTGTTGACACCAGATGAGGGGGTGATGGATGACAAGCAGGTTCACAGAGATCTTTGATCTCTTGTTGAGAAAGAGAGAGAGAGAGAGAGAGACTCCCATTTGCAGATTCACTTCCCAAGCTCCTTCGATGGTCCCTGCCTGACCTGGGACCTGAAGCTGGGGGTCTGGAACTTAGCCCAGGTCTGCCACATGGGGGTGCCTCCCAGGGTCTGCATGAACAGGAAGCAGAGGTCAGGAGCCAGAGCCAAGCACTGGTGCCATGTGGGAGGTGGGCATCTTAACTGCTGGGCTCTGCAGAGACGCTTTGGTCTGTGACTGGAGGACCCTCTGACTGAGCTGCTGGCCTTCAACTCGGAGCCACTCAGAGATGGAGCTTTTCATTTTATTTTGTTTGCTCCTCACATTCATGCGTGTTTGTGGAGTGCCCTTGCATGACTGAGGAAGCCCTTCACAGTTTGCAGGAAGGGCCTGGAGACAGAAGGTCAAACAGCGAGAAATATGGGCGTTAGGGCTTCCCCCAAGGTAATCCCGTGTGTGTGCGTGGGTGGGTGGGGGGAGCAGGGCTGGGAAGCCCCAAGCTCTCACCCCGCCCTGCTTCTGTGTGTGCTGGGTAATCCTCATGTAAAGGAAGAGGTGCTCCAGGGAGCCCACGGTGCTGGGAAGCCCACCCAGGCAGTGGGGTTTTGCATGAGGGGTTGACCTGGTCTCCATGGAGACAGAAGGTATCTATGTCAGCCTAGAGGGTGCCAGCAGAGGAAGTGCATCCCGCACAGTAACAGAAACCACAAAGGCGAGGCTGAGGACTGGGGACAGCGGGATCCTGGGGCGCACTACTGGTCTCCAACACCCCAAACCTGTGGCCTCTTGGCACGTGCCACGGGCTGGGCAGACAGGAGAAAGTAGCAATCCCCCCAGGAGCCTCCAACGCACCACGTCGCCCCTCCTTTATTTATTTACTGCAGTGCAAGAGTTTTGCCAATAGGAATGCCCTTTTCCAAGGCAGACCGAGTCTCCCAGCACTGAATTCCAAAGTTGTGACAGTGGTCTGGATAACAGCAGGCTCTGGAGGTCTGTCAGGGATCAGGTTCCAGGGACAGCCTGGGTCCCCAAGGTAGGGACCCTCACGCCCTCCCCGCTCCTCCCCAACCACACATACAGTAGCCTAGACCAGATCCTAGAGCTCCCCCAGCTTAGGCACCTGCTCCTGGGCTGTCTCCCTCTTCCCAGAGGCTCCGGGCATTGCGTGGAGAACCTTTTCCCAGCTCTCTGAGGGCTGGGGACGGGAGGGGGTGAGTCCCCTGCGGAGGCCGAGGCCAAGTGCCCCGAGTGCGCTCAAGCAAGCCAGGAAGCAAGGAAGCAAGCAAGCAGGCACCGAGGCAGGCACGGCCCGTGATGTGCTCCGGCTCCGCTCTCGGTGCGCGCGCTCCCCCTGGTGGCTGCCCATCTGTCCAGCCAGCCCCGCTAAGCACCTTTGAGAACTGGACGTCTCGAGCGTGACCTGGCCCAACATCTCGAACTCTCCCATGAATGTAGAGAGCCAGGATTCTTCCAGGAAATGGAGGCTCCTTCCTCTCGTCTAAGACCTGGAGTGAGTGGTCACGCTCATTCCATTCAGTTGCAAGAGATTTATTAAAGTGCTTCTGGGGCCACGCCTATGGGAGGGGCCTGGTGTGGAAAGCCCCAACCCTTCTCCGGTAACCCTGTGGTGGCCGGCTGAACTCTCCAGGACGACTCAGTGTGCAGGAAGAGGAAGTCCACTTTGGGGTTGGGCGCCTTGGAGCGCAGCCAGAAGCTTCTGCCCCCTGCCCTTTCGTCCACTGGGATGAAAGAGGCCATTAACTTTTTCACGTGAAGGGGGCGTTAGCAGAGGACCCCAGAACCCAGGGATGGTCTCCCCGTCTTGTCTGGGTGCCTCTTCCCCCAGAGTGAGGGTGGAAGGGGGTTCAGTAATGTCACCCTCCTTGTCAGCCAGTTCCCCTGTGGCCCACATTTCGTTCCGTGTCGCACAGGGCGTTAGGGCTGCGCATGTCCAGCAGCTCAGCCCTGCCCAGTCTTCCAGACAGCTGCCCACTGTCCATCTGTCAGAACAAGTTGGGGACCCGTAGGTTCTAAACCCGCAGAAGGCACAGCAGCCTGCAGCAGGAACAGATCCTAGGACCCTCGCTCAGTGTATCCAGAAACACTGGCGTCTGGGTCCCTGTTAGCCCCTCGCTTGTCTGAAACTTTCATTAAAGTGGGTTTTGCACTTAGCAGTTGCAGAAGATAATTAGCACATCCCGAGCAACGGATTAAAAATAGCCTTCCTCCCCACGCCCCTACACAGAGAGAGAAGAGAGAGAGGAAGTGGTAGAGTTTTTTGCAGAGCCAGGAGGTAGCCGGCCAGCCATGCCCCCGCCCCTCCCCTCTCTGCCGCTCCATCCTGAGCCACCAGCCCTCACCCTGCCCACGCAGAGAGGGGTCCTCAGATTGGATTCTTTTGAGTTGACTGAGTCCACATGTGCTTCTCTGAGCATGAAGCCCCTCTCCCTTCCCCATCCTTGTTTGCCAGGGGGCCTGAGGTTCTCCAGGACCAAGTTGCAAGGCTGTCCCAGCTGGCCTGGGTCTTCAGGCAACTGGCCAGTGCTCTGAGCAATGAGCCCCTACCCCACAACCTCCATCCTGGGTCGGGTTAGGGCGCCAGGCATTCTACACTCTGTGGGTTGAGCATGACGCAGTGGGTGGGAGGGGGGCTCCCCCAGGACAGGACCACAACAGGACTACTGGGTTGAAGCTTTGGGAGCACAGGGGAGCCTTTGCTGAGACCCTGTCTTCTCTCTGGAGCCTTAAGGAACAGGGGCTTGGGAGTGGAGGCCAAAAGCCACCATGGGGGCGGGCGCCTGAGACCCTCCCCACACCCAGGACCTGAGCAGCCTGGGAGGTAGGTCCCTGCACCTGTGTCCCCCCCGCACCCCCCCACCTGACAAGTGAGGAGCAGAGACAGGAAGAACCTTGTTTGAGAGCTCCTGGTGGTGAGTGGGGTGTCGTTTCCCCCTGCTGGGAGTGGGGTCTTACTGAAGGCTGTCACTCAGCCCCTGCTGGAAAGCCCCTCCCCCTCCAGAGACCTCCCCTTGGGCACCGTGTCCCCCATGGAGACACAAATCCAGCAGGTTTGGTTCAGGTGCCTTTATTGGGGAGGGGGTCAGAGTTCATGAATCACGGGCAGGTGCAGGCAGAGAGTCCTTAGGATGCGGCTGGGGCGGGGTCTGCAGGAGGAGGCTTCCGGCCGGCTGTGCTGTCCAGCCATCGGGTTTCTGAGGTCGGTGCTCTGGGGCCCGTCCAGTGCTGGCCTCACTAGAGGCCACATTCTGACTTCACATGGCTTCCCTCTGCGGATGCCCCCAGCCTTGTCACTGCGCAGATCCCAGAGTCCAGCACCTGGGCCAGTCCTCCTGGCTGGACCCCTCTCGCTTGACTGCTTTTCCTGGGACTGCCCAAAGAGCCAGGCCAGGGGATCTGCGGGTCCTGCTGTGGGCGTTGCGGGATGCTGGTCATCTTCCTGTAGGGAGACATCAGGGCAGGTCTCCTCTGAGGCCTGAGCTGGCCGGCCACGTCGGCTGAGTCGTCCTTGGGCTGTGGCCTTGTCCAGGACACACGTGGGCTGTGCCAGCTGACAGATGGACCTTACATAGTCATCCAGGCTGGGGGAGGCTGGAGGCTCCTGCCCAGCACCTCCAGGCAGCAACTCCTCAGAGCTCTCCCGAATGGTGGGCAGCTGGGCCACGGAAAGCAAAAGCCGGGACCTCATCACGCCAGCAGCGGGGGGAGCAGCACAGTACCTGTGAACAGAAAGGACAGGAGGTGGGTGAGGGCCAGCAGTGTCCCCGAGGCTGTGTCCCCTCCCACCACTAGGAGGCAGGTGTCTGAGAGCTGCCAGATGCCCGCCCTGAGCCATTTCTTCTGCTCTTGTGAAAAGCCACGCGTTTAAGGCTTACCATCGCTGCAGTGCAAGAGCAGGCACAAGTGGCAGACAACCCCCACTCCCTCCACACACAGCCGTAGCCTAGCAAAGGTGAGGGCAGCGGAGCCCCAGGTTTAAAACTGGGTTCTGCTTCTCCCAGACCTTGGAACCTTGGTGGGGTTTCCATCCTGCACCTCCACTTTCCCATGTACGGATTCCTAGCCCCTGTGGCAGGGCAGCTGTGAGAAACACAAGGATACCCCCTTTGGCACACCCTTTTAGGAAGTTACAGGGAGCCGAAGAAACCCCAGGTGCCTGATGGATAAGGCACTGGCTTCCAGGGGAGCTGTTGGGTCTCTGGCCGGCAGCAAGGACGCAGTGCAGGTTCAGGCTGGGGCTCACCCGCCAAGCTTAGTTCCTATGGTTGGCTGCAACCAGAGGCGGTTGCTGTGCCTTACCTGTAGCTGAGAGGGTGTAGGGAAGCTGTGTCAACCGACAGGCCTTGTCCAGTGAGTCAAAGAAGGGCGGCAGGGACTGTCGTTGTACCCAGGCTGGTGGACACTCGGCTCCTTCTGCAGCAGGAAGCTCCTCCCTGGGCTGTCTGCAAGCTTTGCAGCCTGTCAGCTGCTTTTATACCTTTTCCCCTGGCCAGCGAGAGCCAAAAATAGCCATGCTCAGGAAGGCTCCCTTAGGAAAACAGCTTGGCGGGCGGGGTCAGCTGGCAGCCAGGAGCGTGTGTGTGTGTGTGTGTGTGTGTGTGTGTGTACGTGCGCACACCCGCCTATGGGAGGCTCCCGCTGTTTACACTGCAGGCTGGGGGTGGGGAGCCACTCTTCCAGGCCACCTCTGGCCCCTGGAACAGGCCTGTGCTGGATGCTCTCCTTGCTGTGTGTCCCACCAGCACCCCTGGATCCCAGGCAGGACACATTCCAGCCATGTGAGGACCCCACAGAGCCCTGGGCCTGTGTCTGTGAGGCTGATGCCTGGGACCTTGGCCGGATGTCAGCCACAGCAGACCCCCAGCCCGAGGCCTACTGTGAGGCAAGGCATGTCCACCTGGGCCTGGGGCCAGGCAGCCCAGGTGGCTTGATGCTGAAGCCTGGGTCTGTTTTCACAGGCCTGAGCAGGTGCAGGGTGCCACTGTGGGTCACCACCTGCTCTTGGCACAGGAGACGCAGCGGTGAGCAGGTACAGAGCAGTTACTCCCAAGGCTGCTTGGAGGGGCACGGGGACCCCAGCATGGACCCTGGGTTCCATCCAGGAGGTAATGGAGGACACGGAGGGCAGTGATTAAACAAAGGTGCTCTATGGTCTCATCAGCTCCAGTAGCTGGACTTGCTTGCTTCCCGCCCCGATGCTGTCAGGAGCACCTGCCAGGCCATCCCTCTGCCTTTAACTGTCAACCAATGCCCAGTGTACAAGCGCCTTGTCCAAGAAGCTTCCTTGTGTTTCCAAACGCCCCATGGCCAGGGTCATGTCAGCTTCACCTCCTGCTGCTCAGGGTTCAAGACTTCGGGTCTGTGTGGAGGAGCCAACCCTCTAGGGGGGTGGAGGGGGAGGATGTTGTCTCTCACCATCTCACCAGGAGCACCTGAGACCAAGACAACAGACATGAATGCCACCTTGGGTTTTCTCATGAGCCCCACGTGGCTGATGGCCTTTCCTTTGGCGGGACAGCTGGTTGCATGCCTGTGCCTATGTCATGGAAATAGATTTTAACTGTGTGTATTTTTGATAACCTGGGGGCTGACTACTTTCTCCATGGATGGTGGGGTGTTTGAGACTGACTGTGAGGTCCATGCTGGGCAGGGCATCTCTGTGAGTGCTGCCAGGGTAGCAAGAAGAGCCCATGGCCTCCTGCCATCACTGGGCTTCTAAGGCCGATAAAAGGAAGAGGGATTTGTGAATCTAAAATGTTGGTCAAGAATGCTGCATTATTCCCCTCAAATGAGGACTCTGACACAGTCAGGCTCAGAGACGTGGGGAGTAGAGCAGAGCGGAGGAGGGGAGAGGGAGATGGTTTGTGGTTTGACAGGTGCAAAGGTTCCGGTGTACCAGGTGAGTGGTCCTGAAGAGGCACAGGACAGGACAGCGCCCCCAGTGGACCGTGCTGGGTTGTGCACCACAAGCTGGTTAGAAAGTGGTTCTCTCTCTTAAGATTTATTTTACTTGAGAATTCAGTTAGAAGAGAGAGAGAGAGAGAGAGAGAGAGAGAGAGAGAGGTGCCATCCACTGGTTCACTCCCCAAATGGCTGCATCAGTCAGAGCTGAGTAGATCTAAAGGCAGGAGCCGATTTTTTCCACATCTCCCACATGGATGCAGAGGCCCAAGGGCTTGGACCATTCTCTGCTACTTTCCCAGACTACAGGCAGGGACTCGGATTGGAAGTGCAGCACCTGGGGCACAAACCAGCATCCATGTGGAATGCCACTGTCACAGGCTGGTGTGCCAAGACACTAGGCCCCATGATGACTGCTCTTACGCAGCAATAAACGTATGCTAAGTTGTTGGCTGTGACACCAGTGGAACAATGCTATTGAATGACTCAAAGACAAATATCAGGTTCATTCTCCGTGTGTGTAGCTGAGGAGAGGGCCGACCAAGTGCCCCGAGGGTGCAGCTGGACACCTCCGGGAGAGGTAGGGCTGGGCACAGACAGCCTGGCAGGGTCTACTAGGAGGTGTGGACCCCCCCCCCCCTCCACCATAGAATCATGCCCACTGAGTATTCTGCAGAGGCCCATCCCTGAGAGGCTGGGTGGCCTGCAGACATGAGAATACCACCTTGGTTGCTTGGGGATGCCAAGTGGAGGCTGTTGTAGAAACTCTGGTAGTGAGATGTGAGGCTGGGCTGGTGAGAAATAAAAGGCCTGCTGCTGGGACATCAAAGGGCAGGCTCAGCCCAAGGAGGGTGGGGGCTGCAGCTGCCAGCACGGAGGAGACTGAGGGCCGGCTGGGGGAGTGGCAGCCTCTGTCCTGGTGAGCACGGGGCCCACCCTCCCCTGTCCAGGTACAGGGCGTCCTGAGCGTGTCCTGGGTGGACAAAGAGTGCTCCCCTCACACGTGCTTCCTCACGAGGTGTGGACGTGCCTGTCGGTCAGTAGTGGGTTCCTGTGGAACACCTGACTCAGCCGCTGCATCCCAGCTGGGCTTCCAGCCAGCAGCGGGCCAAGGCCGGAAGCACGCCTCGGACTTCCTCCCGCGTGGCCTGGCCTCACGCCTGCAGCACGGAGAGTCTGTCCTCGCTTCCGGCAGGCTGAGGGTCCCTGTGTCTGCAGGAGCCCTGAGGGTGGTTCCCGGCAGGCCGGGAGGCTGACCCGTGTGACTCTCACAGGAAGACGGGGCGCTGATCATCGAGGGGCTCCTCAACATCGCCTGGGGCCTCCGGCGGCCCATCCGACTGCAAATGCAAGACGACCGGGAGCGAGTGCACCTGCCCTCTGCTGCATGGGTGCCGGGACAGCCCAGCAGCGTTCCGTGAGTGCCCGCTGCACAGAGCCTTCCCGATGCCTGTTCACCCTCAGCTCTGCCATTTCTACGTATTAGGGGTAGGGTGTTCTGACCCCTGGGGTGGAGGTTCTGATCTCATCCGGGACTCCAGCAAAGGGACACGGGACAGCGTCATCCCCGCTGTCAGCAACCGCCTTTGTCCTCCGAGGTCTCACTGCCCAGATGCACCACGTGATGCAGGGCGGTCACTTCGATTCAGGTTTCTCAGATGTAAACACAGGCTCCCATGCCAACAAGGAGAGAGGTCAGCGGCTGGGGATGGGGTGGGGGGTTCCCAACACCACTCCAGGCCAAGCTTTCTGGGTATCCTCTGCCTTAATAAGTCACAGAAATGAAGCCTTGTCCAACTCGGCTTTACTTCTCATGTTGGAATTTAGATTTTATTTCATAACCAAGACTACTGGTCTAGCGACTGGGAAGAAGTCAATGGAACAGAACAGCCTTAAAAAAAAAAAAAGCATTGAGGGCCTGGCACGGTAGCCTAGTCACTAAAGTGCGTGCTTTGCATGTGCCAGGATCCATATGGGCGCTGGTTCTAATTCCGGCAACCCTGCTTCCCATCCAGCTCCCTGTTTGTGGCCTGGGAAAGCAGTTGAGGATGGTCTGAAGCCTTGGGACCCTGCACCCATGTGGGAGACCTGGAAGAGGCTCCTGGCTCCTGGCTTTGGATCGGCGCAGCTCCAGCCATTGCGGCCACTTGGGGGTAGTGAATCATCGGACAGGAGATCTTCCTCTTTGTCTCTCCTCCTCTCTGTATATCTGCCTTCCAATAAAAATAAATAAATCTTTTTTTAAAAGACATTGAATGTTACCTTTTAATTGAAAAAAAATTTTTATTTATTTCAAAGGCAGAGTTACAGAGGGAGAAGAAGACACACACAGAGACCGAAAGAGAGTTCTTTCAACTGTCGGATCACTTCCCAAATGACGCCAACAGCTATGGCTGGGCCAGGCAGAACCCAGGAACCTAAAGCTTCATCCAGGTCTCCCACGTGGGTAGCAAGGGCCCAGGTACTTGGGCCATCTTCTATTGCTCTCGCAGGTGCCTTAGCAGGAGCTAGCTAGTAAGAGGAGCAGCTTGGACTTAAACCAATGCGCCTAATACGATGCTGCCATTCCAGGCAGCAGCTTCACCGGTCACACCACAAAGCCAACCACCAGAATGGGCTTCTCAATAAGGAAGGAACTAAAACAGATCCCTCCTTCAGCCCACACAGCAGAGGCTCCTGTCGCAGGCGCTGCCCCAGTCCTAGCTTCCGTCCTCGTATCCATCCACACAAGGCAGCCAACCGCAGCTGCTCCGGCCCGCAGGGCCAGACTCCAGCTCCTCTCAACAGGCACTGGGAGAGGCCTTTACTGGCCTTTCCTTGTCCTAAGCTCACTCTCCGTCTCTCCCTCCGCCCGCGCCTCCGCTTCTTGCCTGCGCCCCAGGCGCCTGAGGATGCCAGCCTCATCTCGCCTCTCTGTCCCAGAGACACCCTTACCCTGTCACCTGAGCCCTCCGATTTCTCTTTCCAGAAAGGAGCAGCCTCCTCAGGAAGGCACGGTTCCCGGTAAGGAGCCCACTGCGCAGCCCATACAGCAGGCTGAGTGCTGCGGAGACAGTGCAGGTAAGCCGAACACGGACGCTGCCTGACTCCGTCTCTCTTGGGCAGAGCTGAGGGTATTGTGTTGTGTGTGCTATGGAAATGGCAAGCCCCAACAGGTGGCACGGCCCCCCATGCCCCCCACCTGCAGTCCCGGGTCTCTGACACCTGCTTCTCATACTCTGAAACCTGTCCTTTTTGCGCCCCTTCCCTCAGCACACAGTGAGGACCCTGACCCATGTGGTGCTCTGAGGACAGCCCCCCCGCCCCAATAGCAAGCCCCATTCCATACTGCCACTGCCGGCTCCCCTACACACGGAGTCCCACAGCAGGACAGCAAGAGCCAGCAGTGGCAGTCACCACCCTCGGTCCAAGCCGGTGCCCCTTGTCTGTCTTCTGCAGCGAGGCCCCCGGAAGAGGACGAGGAAGCCCCGCAGCTAATGCGCACCAAGAGCGACGCCAGCGCCATGATCCAGAGGCGGCCCAGGAACCGCGCGCCCGGTGAGGTCCAGCGCATCCGACGGCACCGCTTCTCCATCAATGGGCACTTCTACAACCACAAGGTGAAGTCCCGCCTCCCACTTCGCCCTAGCTCTCCCTGGGCCTTGAGGGAGGCTGAGCTTGGGGGAACCAGAGCCAAGCACGGCGGGCAGCAGGTGCTAGCAAGGTCGCATTAAGGGTCACCCTTGATGTGTTCCGTTCTGAGGGGCTGCTGTGCCCACAGCCACACCAGCGAGAGCGTCCCATGATTGTCCCACTCCCCCCTGGCTTGGAGTTTTGCTCACAAGGCAGAGGCAGGTAGTATTCAGTGCACTTTTTGATCATTGCGGAAGCAGTTTCCTGCAAGGGTTCATCCGGAGCTGGCAGGAAACCTGGTGTATCCAGTGATCAACCCACTTGGTACTTTCAGACCACACCAGCCAAGATGTGCCCAGGGAGTGTGTGGCTCTTCCCAGAGAACCTGGCTGGCTCCCGGTTCCCAGCCTTTGTCCCAGGGTGCATTGTCCCCAGGGACACTGTGCATTGTCCCTTCTCCAATGACATCATCCCATAAATAACTCCAACCGTGAAGGAGATTGTTCCGGGAGTGAACGCAGCAGTTTCCAGTTTAAGCAGCCATCCATGCCTAGAGAGGAAAGCTTGTGGTGGAGGAGGTCCTGGGCTGCCTGTCAGCGCCTAAGGAACCTCCAGTGGAAGGATGGAGAATTCAGCTAGCAAGCTGAAGGGTCCCTGCCTCATCTCTGGATTCCTTTGTCCTCCCCCCAACCCCGCCCGGCTCCTGCCCCCATACTCAGGCTGGCTTGCAACGGGGAACTTCCCTTCCAGTTCCCCAGTGAGTTCCTAGTAAAAGCTGATGAATACCAACAGCTGTAGGGGTGTTGCTGCCAAGTCCAAGAAAACCCAGGACTCTTCCCAAATAGTTTGCTGGGAGGGAAAGAAGGGAGCCAGAGACACGGAACAGTGTGTCTGGTCACTAAAAGACCAGGCTTGTGAACTGGATAGTCTTTAAATTTCGGTTTCATTTTTTTTTCTTTTTTCCTTTTTTTTTTTTCTCGTTAAAATTAAGCCCCATTTGTTTGTGTTTAACACATCTTGATACATTGAGCCATTTTAAGGAATTCTTCAAAATTGTTCACATAGGCACTGGAGTGGCAGGGATAGGGCTGGTGTTGGTTGGCTCACGGTGGGGCCAGGAGCCGGGCAATGGTCACTTAATTCCCAGGCTCTCCAAGAGGTCAAGGGTTAGGGTTCTTGCAAACTGAAGCTGGGGTTGAGAGGTGCATGGCCAGCTCGTATGCAGGCCCCGGGTTGGTCGGCAGCGCTTGTAGGCTGGTGCTGATTGGTCAACGATACCGCGCTCTTTTAGAAACTTTGGTAACGGCAGAACAGGCTTCAGTCAGACCAGTGGTGGTATTGCCTGTTGCCCTGGCTTGCGGTTCTGAAAAAGTCCTCAAGATGAAGATCCAGATGAGAGAGGAATGAGCTCGAACACCTTGTGGTCCGAGAGCTGGCCATTCTCTGTTCAGGGAGTTGGATAAGGCGACCTGAAGCTTGGAGAGCGGGAGGTTGGGAGACCTTGGCGACTGGGAGCTGCTGGAATCCAGCACTGGCACCCGGGATTGTAGGAGTCGGCTTGGCTTCGCAGTGGTTCAAGGTGTAGCAGAGTGGGGCCTCGCTGTGGCAGGTCACTTCTGCTCTGGGGTCTCACATGTAGTGTGTCTAACACAGAAACCAAGTCACTGTCCCTGCAGATGTCCCAGTGGTGTGCAGTCTTCCACACTCCGGAAGGAGCAGAAATGCCCAATGGGGCTGTCATCACAGCCTTTTGTGTCCGTCTGAACCAGTCATCTTCTGAGACAGAGAGACAGAGAGGCTTGGGCCTCTGTTTGTCACCCAGCTGGGACACTTTTCCCTCTTAGGGACAGATTCACCTGTATAGCATGCAGCTGTTCCTCCAGGTGGACGCATCATCTTCCAGAATGTAGAAGAACACCTTACGCCTTGTAGAAAGTCCCTTTTCATCTCTTGGCTGCCTAAAAGGCCCCCAAAGACAAGCCCTACCCCAAAGCTGTCTTCCCCACCTCTCCCTGTATCCCTACAAACTTCGTGTCCTTAGAAATTAGTTTATGAGTTTTGTAAGTCAGAGGGAACATTTTTTAAAAATATTTATTTATTGTTATTGAAAATTCAGATACACAGAGAGGAGGAGAGAAAGAGAGGAAGATCTTCCATTCGATGATTCACTCCCCAAGTTGCCGCAATGGCCAGAGCTGAGCTGATCTGAAGCCAGGAGCCAGGAGCTTCTTCCAGGTCTCCCACTCAGGTGCAGGGTCCCAGGGCTTTGGGCCGTCCTCGACTTCTTTGCCAGGCCACAAGCAGAGAGCTGGATGGAAAGCAGGGCCACGCATGAAAGAACCAGTGTGTGCAAGGCAAGGACTTTAGCCACTAGCCTGCCACGCCGGGTCCCCATAGGGAACAATTTAACAAAGAAAAGAATAACTAGCATTGACTTTCTGGGGGAGTGGTTCCAAGTTTTATTTCTAACAACCGTGCCCTAGGACTCTGCTCAGTCATTTTGCAGAACTGCTCTGATTTACAATCCTGTTGGTTGGATTTCCAGACAGGGTGAAGTTTTATGGCTGTTCCCACTGCTGTGGACCAGCCTGTTGGATTTAAATGTGTTCTTTTAGGGAGGAACCAACTATGGTTATAAAAGAATCAGCCAGAGACCTCTGCTCCTGCTTGGAGTGGTTGGTATTATTCTGAAAACAAGACTCGGTACAAAGAAAACATGAGCAGGGGTTGTTGACAAGACTTTTCACCTCTGTGGAATAGCCCGTGGCTCTCTACCCAGGGTTCCTTGGGACCTGAAAACCCGAAGTGACTCTGTTCTCAGCCATGGAGGAAGAAGGTCTGAGTTTGAGACTGATTCCAGCACTTCCTGGAGTGGCACAAGCAAGGGGACACTGAGCCAACCCCTTGGGCACCCTAAATAAACTCAGCTACTGCCCTGGGAAGGCGGATCTAGGACCAGTGGTGAACCTGAACTGGATTTGGAAAGTGAAGGCCGCAGCACCAGAGGGGGCTATACATGGGGTTTTGGGCACCCGAGACTCCTCGGTTACATTGCCAACTAGCTGGATGTGTGCCCCAATAAGCTGTTTACTAAGGTAAAGCCTCTGTTTCCTAAGAAGTGAGAGTTACTTGTAGGTGTTTGAGAGGGCTGTTGTGGGGATTAAAGAGTGTAGACAAAACGTTGAGCACATTCAGTGCAGGGCTGGTGTTTATAAACGACTTAACTGTGCATCAGACAATGTCCCAGTGCATTTCACATCCCGATAATCCTTGACATTTGTCGATGGGGTTACATTTCCACACAGGGCATCATAAAGTTCAAAATGTACTAGCTGGGGGCTGGCATTGTGGCATATCGGATAAAGCCAGCTCTATGGGCACTGGTTTGTGTCTTAGCTGCTGCACCAGGAATCCAACTCTGAGCTGGACAAAAGCCTGAGAAAAGCAGGGGAGGCTGGCCCAAGTGCTTGGCTGTCTGTACCCATGTGTAGACTCAGACCAAGCCCCTGCCTCCTGCCTTTAGCCCGGCCCAGCCCTGGCTGTTGCAGCTATCAAAGAAGTGAACCAATAGATGGAAAAAATCTCTCTCCTGGCTCTCCTTCTATTTCTGTAACTGATTTTTCAGATGAATTAATGAAGTTTACATAAAAAGAAGAAAACATATTGGATGCACCCAATCTAGGGTGTATCCTAGCTCAAAAGCGTGAGCACTGTATCATATTGGATGTTTGCCCTGTGACTGCCAGGCTCACCACCTCTGTCCAGCATCTATTGGCCAATCTGTTGGGCCATGTTATGCTGGCCCTGGAAGAAGTGAGCAGTCCAGGCTGAAAGCATAGTTTCCACTGAATTCTACTGAGTCACTTTTGCAGGGTGAGAAAATTGAAAAACCCAAGGTTCAACTACTGTGAACTGACACACGTCACTCCCCCAAGTTGCGAAGAAGTCCGCACGTCTGGAACATAGGCCATTTGAGAGGGAATTGTAGTGCCGCCTCCGCGCGACAATCCACGTTGTGTGGGCTGCGGGAACCCTTTATGAATATATCTCCAGGTTCTGCAGCGCTGGGTCTGAGTTCGGAGGTCTGGAGCAGAGTGGGGAGATGGAGGCCTCTGCTTGCAGGTCTGTGCAGCTGGCCCAGCCCCTGCTTGGCGCCGCATCAAGGGACTTCTACAGTGTGATGTGGGGGCCTCTGCTCAGGCACCGCTGGAGAAGGTGAAGGAGGAGGCACGCCCCTCTGGCCCTAGATGAGACAGAAGAGTGATCTGATTGGCAGAGAAAAGGAGGTGGAGACCAGTTTCTCCTCTTCCCAATGTCCCGCTTCCTCTGCCCAGATGGCCACTCTACATGTGTTTGTGTTGGGTGGGAGGTGAGGGGATCCTTGGAGAGCCAGTGCTGTTGCTGTTTCCTGGAGCAGCCCTCATGTCTGGGCGCATGCCCAGCTCACGTGGGTCTGTGGGAGCATTCCTAGAGCCTGAGCCACCAGCAGGACAGCAGTCCGTGTCTCCTCTGGGCACGCTCTGAACTGTCTTTGTCTTCTTCCCTGGCACAGACCTCCGTGTTCACCCCTGCCTATGGGTCGGTGACTAACGTGAGGGTCAACAGCACGATGACAACCCTGCATGTGCTCACCTTGCTGCTGAACAAGTTCAGGGTGAGTCCAGGCCTGGGTAGCCTTGACCCAGACCCTGGTGGTTTGCTGTTGTGTTGGGTGGCAGGCTGGAAGGGCAGGACAGCAAGATATTCCCTTGCTAAGATGGCAGCTCGTGGGGATGTTAAGGTATCTTGTGTTCATGGTACGGGGGGCGGGGGTGTTTCCTATTATGGGTCCTCTCCATCTCCCTCAAATTGCCTGTGCAGGTGGAGGACGGCCCTGGAGAGTTCGCTCTTTACATCGTCCATCAGTCTGGCGGTGAGTGTTCACTGCAGATCGTAGCAGCGCAGTGTCTCTGGTCATTGGCTTAGTCAGCTCGCCGCCTGGGCTCTTCTCCTGGTGGAGGGACCTCGGTCAGCCTTCTTGGCAGTAATGGGCAGTCTCAGGACAGCCAACCCTCCTAGCCCTAGCCCAGCTGCCTCCTAGCCCAAGCCCAGACAGGGTTCACAACTGTCTGAGAATCCCCAGCAAAGCCACAGAGGAAACCAGCCCCCCCAGGCTGGCCCTCCCACCCTCTCTGTGGCATTCACAGTTGCCAAGCAGACCCGTGGCCTCGCAACTGTCTTGCTTCACACGCTCGAGCCCCCTGGGCTCCTCCTTGAGCTGTGCTCTTGTGAAATGACCCTGGCAGGAGGAAGACAACCCTAGGCCGCTCCCGCCGTGGATTCAAAGGGCCCCTCCATAAGTTAGGTTAGCAAAAGAGAAAGCAGAGGCTTCATGGCAGGTGCATGGCCGTGCATGATTAGGGAGTGCGTGCAGGTGGAGGCAAGCATCACAGCGGAAGTTGGTTGCGAGGGCAGTGAGGGGACACGGGAGATAGCTGTGAGTTTCCTGGGTGCCCAGTGGTGGGAGGGTCAGCAGTGGAGGGACACTGATGGCAGAGGAGGCTTCAGCAGGGTTTGTGATGCTGGTATTCCTCCAGTCTGGCCAAGGCCTTGCTGGTCTCTGCTCAAATCTGTTCTTCCTACAGGGGAGGGGGATGTACTGACACATGGGGTTCCTCTTCAAGCTGCTTGCTTTCAATCCCAACAACAAAATGTCATGTTTTGCGGGGAGGTGACATGTCTGACCCCTCCCTGCTCCGGCACAACCATACCTCTTTCAGGAGGTCTCTGGAGCTCCTCTCACCCAAATTTTTCTTTTCTGTCATGTGCCTGTCCTAGTACAAAGAGCCATGACCATACAGTGCCAGGAGCTGTGTCAAGTGCCTTCTTTTTTTCAGAGAGGACCAAATTAAGGGAGTGTGAGTACCCTCTGATTGCCAGGATCCTGCATGGGCCCTGCGAGAAGATTGCCAAGCTGTTCCTGATGGAAGCAGACCTGGGCGAGGAGGTCCCCCACGATGTGAGTAGGGGCCAGGAGACACCACGGCAGGATGGGGGGACTCTCATGGGCTCTGAAGGTGGCCTGGGCGAGGAGGTCCCCCACGATGTGAGTAGGGGCCAGGAGACACCATGGCAGGATCGGGGGAGTTCCCACGGGCTCTGAAGGTTCCCCATGATGTGAGTAGGAGCTAGGAGACACCGAGGCAGGATAGGGGAACTCCCATAGGCTCTGAAGGTGGCCTAGCCCAGAGCCTTCTTGGGCGATGCGTCCAGGGACCTCTGGCTCAATATAGTGATGACCCTATGGTGATGGCCTCAGCCCTCCCGCTGCCTCTCAGTGGCTTAGGCAAAAGCACCTGGGGCGTGGAAGACCACAATTCTATCCTTTCTTTCATCCCTCATGAGCACACAGTCATCTCTGTGTGTCCACAGGACCTCTGCGGATGCCAAGATCTGCAAATGTCAAGTCTGCGTGTGACATGTCACAGTATTTGCACCGAGCCAAAACAGGTCTCCCACGTGCAGAGTTATAGCAAGAGGGGGAGAGGTGCCATAATGTGATCCCCTTCCCCCGTACACTTTAAGCCATCTCTGGACCCTGAGAATACCCAATACAGCGCCAACACTGTGTCAGCAGTTGCTCTGCTGTGTTGTTCAGGAAACAATGACAAGAAATGGGCTGCAGGTGTTCGGCACAGACACAATGTTTTCTCCTGAGTATTTTCAATCCCAGGTTGCTTGATTTCCATGGACGACATGGCAACCATCTGACCTTGCCTGTCACTGCATTCATGACCCACATGAAGAACCCCTTACCCTGGGCCCAGCTAGCACCAGTGGGGGAGGAAGTGACCACCAGGGCTCCAGGCGGGACAATGAGCACCTCCCACACCCCTGTGCACAGAAAGGCCTGTTGGGTGGAGGCTACGAGGCCCTGTGTCCCCTGGCCATTCCCAGAGCTGGAGCGTTTCTACTCCATTGTTAGGAACAATGGTGTGAGGTGTTCCCACCAGCCCCACCCCCGTGTGCCAGGGCTGCAGCACCGAAAGCGTTTCCTAATATTCAAGCTCATATCCCTCTCCCCACAATCTGAGGGGTAAGGGTTGTCTTTGAGAAAAGAGCAGCTCCCACGCTCTTGCTCCCATTACAGTACAGGGCAGTGGCATCCGGGGTGGGGTGGGAAGAGGGCAGCTGCTTCTGGAGCTGTCCAGACCCCCGTGGAAGCCAAGAGGACGACAAGCTTATGGCACATGAAAATGTTCTTGGATTTTTCTAGGTTGCCCAGTACATTAAGTTTGAAATGCCGGTGCTGGACAGTTTTGTTGAAAAATTAAAAGAAGAGGAGGAAAGAGAAATTATCAAACTGACTATGAAGTAAGCAGCACCACCCCCACCTGCCGATCAGGAGCCCTGAGCAGGCAGGCCACGTGCCAGGGGGGCAGGTCTCTCCTCTCCTGCACATCGGCTGTTCTGCTGCTATTCCTGGTTCCCAGCCTTGTCCTCGGCCCCCTGCTCGTGTGGATGCCAAGCTGGGGTGACAGGAGGCCAACATGGCAGAGACACAGCCCCGCGTACCCAACAGCTGCAGCAGCTTCACCAGCTCAGGGCATGAGCTACATCTGGGCAAGAGAGGCAGAGAGAGCGGGGGCGTGCTAGGGGCCGGGGCTGGGGTCAGGAATGCTTGAGTTCTATAGATGAGCTGGCTCTTGGCAAAGTGACCGAGGAAAGGCACAGCCTGGGGGCTCTTTGTGATTCCAAGCCCACTACCCCGGGAGCAGTTGTTGGAACTCTCAGCACCTGTTCATTTGTTCAGCTCAGGGGAAAGGGGAGCAGGTTTCAGCAACCGGTAACTATGTCGGGGCCCGGCTTGACAAAATTAACCAGGCTGGTTCTCTGGATGACCTGTCTTATTTGTTCCAGGGTAGCATAGAGCAGGACAGCTGGAGGGCACTCGGCCTGGGTTGTTAGGTGGATGGCCTGGGAAGGGACAGCCGGTTTGTGTTCTGGCATGATACTGGTGAATGGCATTTGAAAAGCCTCAATCCTCTCCTTCCCCTCACATTCCTGCTAGAGTTCCTGGTTTGACACCCCCACAGGGAATCAGCCGAGACCCCAATCAGAGGGAACTGTTCATTGTAGGTGTCTAGGGACCTAGGAACCACCTGGGTCGTGCACTCCAGGCACAGAGAGGGAAAGCTGAGGCCCCAGATGGTGGTGTCACAGCCCGAATGGTTGCAGTACCAGGAATGGTTGCAGTACCAGGAAGGGAACACAGGCTGCCTGAGCCCACCCTGCTTGCACTGCTCTGTCTTGGAATAGCTGGCTGTTTGAATGAAGTTCTGTGACAGCCTCAACCCTGTTGGTTACGCCTTAAAAGGCCTGATCCTCCCCTGGGTGGGCACTTGGGAGCTTGTCACCCCCTCTTGGTCCTCTCCAGCTGCAGTGGTCCTCTTGGCTGTGTCTCCCTCCAGGTTCGAGGCCCTGCGTCTGACCATGCTGCAGCGCCTGGAACAGCTGGTGGAGGCCAAGTAGCTGGCCAGCGTCTGCCTCTTCTGACCCCAGCAGCAGCAGCAAGTGCATGTGAAGTCCCAGTGGCCGGGTCCTGACTGGTCACACTGACTGATGGCCACCACCTGGGGAAGCCAGCATCTGTGCTTCCACTTGTGCAAAGCCTGAGTACCATGCCATCCGCCTCCCTAGCTTGGCCGCACAGTGAGCACGCATCAGGTACAGACCTAGCTCAAGGAGCGGGAAATGCCCGCTGGAGTCCGAGGCTAGCCTCAGCAGTGAGTGAACCGGAGACCGTCACCCCGATGAGGTTGGTGTGGCTAGCTGTTGTGGCCAGCTCTGTCCACTCACACATCCTCTGTTTAGGACAGCAGTGTTGGATCCAGCCCCAGGGACATGGGTTTTGTCTGCTTGGCTCAAGAGACCGTGCAGACCTGCATCGTCTTCATCATCCTTGTCAGTCACGAGGTCCCCCTCTGCCCCTACATTGTAGCCATCCAGGAACTGTGTTGAAGGGTGCTGTTCTCAGCAGCCTTGGCCTGCAAGCCTCCGGCATCACCTGTGAGTCTGGCACAGCCCAGCAGCCCCGGTGCAGAGGTCAGGTCAGGAACCTGACCATTTCTGCCCTCTGTGGAAGTAAGCCTTAGCCACCAGTTCATCGTGAGGAGATGGTCCACTCAGCACTTGGTGGTTGAGAGCCATAGGGGATGCTCAGTTTCCATCATCCCTAACCTGGAAGCCTTGCATGCTTCTTGCTTTCCCTACGTCCCATCACTCCCCATCAGAACCCAGAATATAGAGGAGAATCTTGAGTTGCCTGGGGCCAGATGCTGAAGGGATTGTGTCTATTTGCTAACCGAGAATTTCTGGACTCGATGAGAAAGGCTCTGCAGAACCGTGCGATGGTTGATGCCGGATAGGCGAAACGTAGCACACTGCAGTCTACACTCTTCTCCCAAGGGGATCTTTGTGTGTGTGGGGGGGTGTGTTTAAAGGGAAGAAACATGAAGGTCAGAAAGGAGAGAGAGTGCACATCTGGTGCATGCAAAGGGCAGAGAGCAGCTGTTCCCTGTGGAGCTGGGGACTCCCTGGCCAGCTGCACCGTCACAGAGACACACACGGAAGTGTGGGGGGCCTGGCTGCTGTCCTTGCGAGTTCATTGATAGCAGGGTCCCCCAGGTGCTCAATAAAACTGATCTGTGAACCGAGGAAGTCAGGACTAAAGTTATTTTTCCTCCTCCTTTTTTCTGTGTCCACAGCAATACCCCTAACCCCTGCTACTCTTGTCCTACACTGTGTGGCTGTGGTTGGCAGAGAGCCCCACGCCACTGCTCTTCAGGCCAACATGGGTTTTTCACTCTCGTGCATAGGGCTGCTAGAGAATACGGAAAAGTAAAGGATGGGGGCTCTCAGGGTGGCCTGGGCAGGGAGCAGTAAGGTAACCCTGAGTGGCAGGATTTTTCTGCCTTGATCAGATCGGATGGAGTCAGGGTGTAGCAAAAGGTGGGAAAATGAAACAGCAAATTTTATTTTCCTGCCTGAATTTCAACCTCGGGTTTAGGAAAGCTGCCCACAAACACTCTGTTTGGTAGGAAACAAGCAGCCACCTCATTCAGGCAGGGACTTGACCCTGGAGGGTCCAAGACACGCCCACCAGCTTCCCTGTAGTCAGGGGCCTCATTATTGGGAAGAGCAGGCGAGCAGCACAGCTCTCCGGAAGCAGGCCTGAGGCTCAGCTGGAGTGGGCGAAGATGGCATATGGTGTCACAGAGTGAGAGAGGCCTGCCCACCTGGGAGCAGGACAGGTGCCCTTGAAGCCTGGGCTGCCAGTTTGCTTTTGGGAGTTGACAGAAGAGTACCTGGGGCCTTTCTCTTAGAAATAGGCATTATCAGCATCCACTTGTGAATGTCGGAGCTCAGAACAGGAAAGGGCAGTTCAGGGATCACTCTGTGCGTGAAGAGCTGCTCACCCGACTCATCCCAGCACTGCCCTATGGATTGCAGAGCTGCTGGCTTCCTGCTGGCTCCTATAAGGACTGGAATTCCAGCTTGCTCCCTGGAGCTTATGGGACTTCCCACAGAGCCTTTGATTTGCCAAGATCTGAAGCAGTCCAGGTGTCCAAAGCTGAAGCGAAAATGTCTGGCTGAGGGCACTGTCTGTGATAAGGGGACCGCCTTCCCTGGGGCCCGACCTAGGCATCCAGAGAGCACGATGACCGACAGAGGATGAAACCAACAGGATTGCAAAAGAACCGAATCAGGGCCAAACAGGAGCCTTTCCCAGAACGAGTTACCAGAGGGGATCAAAACACTGCTTGTTTTTCTGCCGTGATAACCACGCGCTACCAGAACAGACACTAGCTGACAAAATACAGCCGTTCACCCAAAGGACATCCGGTCCCTTGGCTCTGGAGTAATGCGGTCCAAGGCATGTCCTGTCCCATCAGGTTATTTGTGGAGGCAAATATGGGAATGCAAAAAATGGGAGTGTGTGTTCCTATGACACAGGCACGCTGCATGCAGATGCAGGGATGGCCGGACATGGTAGTCAGGTGCTGTAGGGGGCAGCAGCCCCCTTGCCCCAGAGCAGGGATCAGGCAGGAAGTTCACAGTCAAGCAGCTCCAAGTATAAAAACAACCACCAGATGCACGTGCTAAATTTAGGCCTTCTTAAAACGCCTCCATCTGGGAGCGAGCCAGGAACTGACATGCTGAGACACTGAGCCTGAAGGGTGGGACCCCGTGCCCTCCCGGGCAGTCTTGCCCAGAGAGATCTTCTGCAGGCCCAGAAATGGGAATCCCCAGAGTTTCCTTTTCCCAGAGAATGCAAAGGAAATAAAGCAAAGCCTGAGGTGTGGTAGGTCTGAACTATTGTTCAAGGTCCCTGGGCCAAGAGGGGGTCGCCTGGGTGAGAGATGAAGAATATTCCACTAAGCATTACTGCATTGGGGCCACACACACATGCACACACACACACACGCATGTCACTGACCTTCTTGCACTTGGACTTGGGGATCAATGCTGTCAAATACAGACTTCAGACTGTGTGTGCGTGTGTGTGTGCGCGCACACACACATTCCCATGTTCCTGCTAGCCGGTGGGGCAGATGCCAAAGCCACAGGAAAGCGAAGTGACCTGCCATCTCGTTTCTCAGCCCAAGACGCTCCTCCTTCCTAACCTGAACCTTCTAACTCCCGTGGGGTACTAGACAGGCACACTGGCCCAGCTGATACGGACTCTGGCCCCTATTGGTTCAGACTCCCAGGAAAGATGCTGTTTGATGGCCTGATGGGCCTCATTGCCCTTTATGTTTGAGGAATATCACATGTGACCATTTTCCAGTTACTTTGCTTAATGATCAGCCTGCAATCCCATCAGAGATATGCCGTGTTATTGAGAGGTTAACAGCACAGGCTACAGAGTCAAATCATGGGGCGCAGAACCTAACTCTGCCACTCAGAAATGTGTGACCTGGGGCACGCCACTTTCCTCATTTTCCTCATTTATAAAACGAGGATGATGATAAATTCTTATCACTTAGGGTTATTGGGAAGTTTATCAGTCATTTTTATTGCAGTTAACAGATTAATACCAACATTCTCAGGGTTTCCAATAAGAGTATTTATTTCTCTTCTCTTGCATATTCACGGGGCTACAAGGACTATGGGCGAGTCCGGTGGCTCTGTTCCATGTGTCTTTTCATCCTGGGTCCTAGATTGAAGGACCTGCCCAACTGGGGACGTTCTGTTCTCGAGGTGGAGGGAACGAGCAAAGTGCTGGGAGGAATGTAAGATTCAGGGCTTCTTCAGGGACACGGTGTGCCTCGCACCTGTTCATGTGCGGTAAAGTCAACATCAGCAGGCTGGGCATGTGGCTCACATGGAGACGTTCAGAGCCACGCCGCAATAGGCAGGCACGCCACAACAGGCAGAGAAGGGTGAAGCAAGTGTCACACCACAGGGATCTCATGAGACCACAAGTGCTTCCAACAGTGCCCTGTACACAATAAATACGCAGGAAGTGCTAACAGTTAAGCTGGCAGAGCACCTGACATCTAAGACCGGCTGCCCTGTGGCTTCTCTCTCCTTCCCTAGCCCTTTCCCCGATTGGTCCCCTCTTATCCTTGTCTGGCTTGGCTTCTCAGTACTTTCCTCATTGTATTTGAACACCTATACTTCTTTACCGTTTCATTTTTCTCTTCTTAAAGCTTCATCGGTCTTTGATTCTCTAATCCTTGCACCTTGAGATGTAGGGAAAGGGCTGGCCCACCTTGATGTGGGATACCAAATGTTCAGGATATTTGCTGGGGTTGCGTGTGTATTGGGGAGGAGGGGAACAGTAGACGATACTTTTTAATGCAAACAGTCCCAGTAGGTGGTGGTTTGCTCAGGAAATCTTCCTAAACCATCTCTAGCCATGCCTTTCAACCCCAGCCTCTCCAGCCCACCAACATCAAGATCCTGCAAAACAATAAGGAGTCCCAATGGTTCAGGCTTCTTAATCGCCCCACGTGGTGCCTAGGGCCTCCTCACTCATACCACGATCCCTTGCACTGCCAGCATTACTGGCTTTGCAAAAATGCAACGCTTCATAGACAGAAGTGGCTGGAATTTAGGGGGCTACTCAGCCTCCTTCCCCTAAGTCTCCCCCTTCCTCCCTCATTTTACAGATCCGCAGGACACACACGGTCCCTGATTCTGACACATGCTGAAGATGAATCACTGCAGGATGGATGTAATAGCACTTCACACTGGGGGCTTCTACATATCCATTCATTCAACAAGCATTTACTGAGTGCCTGCTACCTGCTAAGCACTGTTTCCAGCACCCCGACACCACTGATAGCCAAGGAGAGCTCTGTGGGCCGCCACACGGTTGCTGGCTTTTGGGCCAAAGACAACATCACTCTGGGGCTCTGAGGAGACCTCCAGGAGTCCACGTTTCCACGGAGCAACACTTCATGTGCAGGTGTTCAAAGTGGCTTCATTTTGAAGATATTCTAAAGAGAGCCAATAGAATTTACCAATGGGTTGGATGTGGGTTTGACTTGAGCAACTGAAAAAAGATGGGAGTTGACTACCAGCTTGTTGGCAAGAGGCTAGCTGATGGTCAGGTGTTCACCTTAACAGCTCCACTATACATCCACAGGGTGCCCTGGGGTATCAGCCTGGCACACCCAGCTGTGGGTGTCAGTGATAAACAGAATCCAGGATCAGTCCGGGGTCAGCGAGGCGGTGGTCTTCGGCGGCACATCCATCGGAGGGTCTTTGAGATTGGCTGATGGGAGAAGCGTCCCCCACCTCCCCAGGATTAGGGTTAAGTGGAGGAGAGGTTCATGAAGCCAGAGAAGGACTCAGAGCAGATGAGCGGGCAGGGCCAAGGTGGCAGTGGGTGGCAGCAGGGACCCTGTGGAGAGAAGAGAGCCAGGAGAAAGGACATTAATGAGGGGATAAGCCAGGGGCTGCGAGCTTCTCAAGATGACTGGGGCACACACCGGGGGATGCGGAGCCTGTGGGACCCAACCAAAGGCGACCCACTCACACACAGCGTGGACCGGAGTAGAATTATCTCTGACGCCTGGAAAACGAGTACAGCCGGCGTCCCCAACTTCGGGGTTTCCGGGAGCTTTTCAAACTTGAAATCAACAGGGCGATTTGTGAAAATTATGAGGAATGAGGGACGGGCGAGGCTGCCCCGGGCACTCTGGCTGGTAGACCAGAAGGTGGGACAGACTGGCAGCCTTAACTTTCTCCACTAGAAAGTGGGGCGCCCACATGGTTGAGTGCTCCTGGTTTTCCCACCAGACGCCGTCTGAGAAGCGAAAGGCGGGGATGGAGGAGGGGAAAAAGAAAAAAAAAAAGGAAAAAAAAAACCGCCGGGAAGCAACGCACACAAATTCTTTTCGGGTGGGCTCGGGACCATAGAGGGTCGCTTCCTCCGCGTTCCTAGAGCGCCCGCGACGGCGCCCGGCGCGGCCCGCACTTCCGGCAGCGCGAGAGGCGCGGAGCCGGCGAGGGCGGCGGAGGCCCGGCGCGGTGAGGGGGACTGAGGCTCGCGAGGCGAGGGTCCCGGGGGGCTCCTCGGGGAGCCGGGGGCTCGCGGTGGGGTCGGGGCGGCGGCAGGGCCCCCCCGGGGTGGAGGGCCGCAATGGCTGGGCCGGCCTGCGAGAGACCTGGGCGGGGGGCGGAGGTGGCCAGGCCTTGCAGCT